TGCAAGGTTCTTCTCATCTGAATATTTAGTACTTGGCCTTTATCTTCTAACCATTCTTTTATGTCATCAAGGGTTGCATCAGTTGGGAAGCCTTTCTGTGAAAAGTGGGAAGAATGGTACAAATAATGACCTCTCAGGTAAACAGTTAGCCAGAACACATAATTCATTTTGTCTTGAAACGGAGCCAAGATATACCTATCTCCTTCTATTTCTCTCTCTCTTAACTGCTTAACAGCCTTCTTTAAAAGCCATTATTCTCCAGTGCAAGAAAAGTGACTCATCTGGCATGTGCTTCAAAATAGTTCAGTTGAGGCAGAGATAAAATGAGATTATCTATGTGTTAATAACTGATGAAATTGGGTGATGGTACATTATACTATTCAATCTACTTCTGTATGTCTGAAACTTTCCATCATAAAACAGCTATTTAAAAATTAGTATGCTAAAGAAAATTCTATCAAGGTTAGCTGTTGATAAATAAGAACAGCTGATATGCACTGGGTGCTTGCAATACACCAAAGATTTCATCCAATGGTATTAATATATAGGTTTCTGCATTTAATTCTCAGAACAGTTCCACAGGGTAGAAAATACCCACATTTATGAAGATAAAGCTTAGAGAGGTTAAGAACATTGCCAAAGCACATACAGTAATTGGTGAAGCTATGATTCCTGAGCCCTTATTCTTACCCACTCTACTATACTTTCTAAATAAATGTAAGATGTTAAAGGCCCACTTACAATATAAACAGATCTGTTTTTTACATCATTTTTATACTCATCAGTCACTTCAGGGAGGGGTTTACTTGGAGACCTTCTGATTTTAGTTTTATCTTCACTGATTTCCATGAGTTCTGCCTTGGATTTGCTCAGTGCTTCCACGATTACATTAAAGTCTGTTGTGAGACGGTTTAACCTGAAGAAGAGTCGACATAAAAACACTGTAAAACATAGTGGCGCTCATTGTTAACAGAAAAATCTAAAGATGATTTTTAAAAGGTTTTTACCTGTTGAATTTTATCATGATCTCCAAAGGTACCCAGCCTTCATCCAATTTGATCTGTTCCTTTAAAAATTTGTCCCGTGGCAAATTGAAGTCTCCAAAATAGTACTATAAGATAATTACAATATAATTCAGAGCCCTGTATAATGTTGACTCCAATCCTGAAATTTTATATTACCATTACACTATCAAGTTCTATTTTTTAAAAGTATGTCATAACTTACAAGAGGCAATAAACATTTTTCCTAAATGTGCTGTAATAAAATGTTTATAATTCACAAAAAAACTAAAATGTTAATTACTGAAACAGTGGAACAAGTGTCCATAGACTAGAAAGCCTTAAAACAAAAATAGGTTTAAAGATCTATTATATGCAGCCGGGCGCGGTGGCTCACGCCTGTAATCCTAGCTCTCTGGGAGGCTGAGGTGGGCGGATTGTTTGAGCTCAGGAG